CCAGAAAAGCGGCTCGCATCACCGGTGCCTTCGTCCGTGGTGCTCGGGTGAAATCACAAGCCGGTCTGAACGCTGGCTGGTTTTGTGCAGCCGTGCTCTTGCTGGAAAGCGAACGCACATTCCTTCTGTCTAGGGTGGACAAGAAACTTGGAGAAAGTGTGACAAATGCGGAGGAAAAAAAAAAGAATTAAAAGGTGATTTAAGGGTGCAAGAAGTCTCTGAACGAAGATAAAATACAAGCATACCTGGGAAGAGAGCAATTATCAAGGTAATCAGAACAGTAAAAATACATTTATAAAGAATTAGTGTCATATGAGCCAAACAGACTGAGGTCTCTGGGTATTACTGTCACATTAGTTCATCAGAGAGTAATTAGAAACACAAAATAAGAGCTAGCTGAAATACAGAAACGGGTGTGCATCTACTGATAGGAGAAATATGGTAACAGTGAGGGCAGACACCAAGAGGGAAGCAATAGTGCATTCTCCCATCTTTGCTCTATTACCGTTTTTTTTTTTATTTTTGAAAGTCATAATGCTACAGAAATGACCGAAGAGCATTATGTTTAAGAACATGATGTTTCAGCCTGCTCCCAGGTGCACACCAAACTTACCATGGGCAGCATGCCTACTTGGGGACATCCCTGGGTCTGGTTATGCACTTGTGCGACCAGTGTGCAAAGGACTTATCCTGGTTTTGAAGACTCTGTGGTCAGAATCAGCAGTCTGATGCATCAGCTGTGCCCGGGAATAGTTGTGATTACTCAGACAACACTGGGTCCAACTACGCTCCACAGGTCAAGGGTCTCTGTGCTTCCTGGGGGGGAATTTTACAACATGTGAAAGAGAAGTTCTCTTGCATGGACTATTTAGTTAGCATGGAGTAAAACTAACTCGTAACTCCAAATCATTTTGTGAGGATCAGCAATGTGCAATTTCCCATCTCTTACACGGGGTGGCACAGTGTAGCTGGACATCTATCGATGTTCCTATGTAACCTAGAAAACAAGCAAACAAGGGGTCGAAGCTAACTACTGGAGGATGTTGAATAATTCCATTTTTAAACATTAGACAATTGCAAATATAAGCGCATTGTTACATGAAAGCTTTACCAAAGAGAACAGGCTTTCTGTCATACGAATTTTGTCCTACACATCACAAAAACACCAGCTGTCACACATCTAAATTCTAGCACACATGAAAAAAAATCTAGCAATGTAACCAAAAAAAACCCCAACAACAACAACAAAAATTACTAACAGTGTCCATTTTCAAACAGTTCATGCAACAACTCAGAAATGTTGGAATTAAAAAAAAAAGTTTGAAAGTCCATGTCTGCTTGAGGACTGGACATAGGGACTGCAGAGGTATGTAATTCCCTCCATGTCATGTTCCCTAG